ACAGCGAAACAGGCACAACGTCATCGCGTGCTCTCTGCAGTTGATAGGACCAGCCGATATTCGCCGTGTCTCTGTGCGTGCTCCTCCGCCGTCTAGTCCTATCAGGCACAGAGAGCAGGCCATGACGCTGCGCTTTTTGCGCTGTTTGATTGGCCCTTCAGCTCATAACATCGGCCGCGCTCGGACCGAAGCTGAAACGAAGTATAGTTACAGGTTGAAACGTTTTAGTATTTTTCCGTCGCCAATACCAAATACGCCTATTAGGTGGCTTGGGACGAGAGTACACAAAAAAAAGTCTATAGACTATATTTCGTCAATTTAGCCGTCACTACTCGGTGAGTCTAATTACGTCCGACGAAAAGAAAGCGAAAACGAACTCGAACAACAAGGGGGGCTATGTTCGACAAATGTTTCGTTTCTCCTAAAAAGAAACGGAAGTGACGGAACTGACGATATCGCGTCTGATTAGCTAGAGGCTCAAATGACGATAAAGGGAACTTCCGTCATTTGAGAGTCTAACCAATCAGAAGCGATATCGCCACTTCAGCCACTTCCGTTTTTTTTTAGGAGAAACGAAACATTTGTCGAACATAGCCCCCCTGGTATGCATGAAAGGTTAAACTGCACTTTTTTTTTGCCGGGAATAATTAATTGCTTGGGTATTTTGAAGGACTTTATATGTATGTAAATTTTCATTCCTTGACATCGCAAGGTGGCCGGAGAAGCTGTAATGTTTCGCTGTACATACACGACGAACTATGCAATTGTAATTGTGTGTTTAGACGGGGGAAGTTAATCTGCCGGAACGGGCTTGTGCTGTCTCCGCTGATAGCCAAAATTATACGAGTACACTTAAGACTGCTTACGTGTAGGAAGGCGAAAGCGAGTCAAAGACGAGGTCTAGGACGACGTCGAGAACGACGCCTAGAGGACGACGACGAGAACGACGCCTAGAGGACGACCTCTAGGATGACCTTAAGAACGACGCCGAGGGTGACGTCGAGAACGACTCCTAGAGGACGACGTCTAGGAATTCACTTTGATTCTTCTTAATTCGCTTTGTCATTCTTCTTAATTTCATTGCCGGTAAGTAACCTTAGCGGTCACGTCAACGTTTCGATACATTTCATGTCGCCGACGTGTTTTCGCTCAAGGACTTCGAATAAGGCTTTCGCCTTAATAAATTTAGGCAGTGCAGTATGGCTGCTATAGCCTGTGGTCTTTGAAGTGCATCACGTAGCAGCGATACATGACCGCATGCCGGCGCGACACGATGCTCATCCAGATAAAAACGGGTAAGGATGGGGATTGAGCCTGCAGGACCCCTGGGCCGGTTTGCTCATCTTGCGGCTGCGGTCGCGGCTGCGGCCAGGAGGGATTTTTATGTCACGTGACCAGCTCCATGGGGACAAAGAAGTACCTAGCGTCCCTGCCTTATGGCGGAGTGATCAGCATCGCTTCAAGCACAAAAGCCTAATTTCGCTCGCAGAAACTGATTGCAGGGACTTTCATCTGGAATCTAATTGACCGCCCCTTTATACTGTAGGAGCGGCAGGTAAAGTTACGGCCAGGGAGGGTAAATAGGAGCCAAAATAAAGAAGAAACCACAGGAGATAATAGCGGTAGCAGTATATTTATCTACCTTCGCCGGCGCCGGTGCCTCGCCCCTGCTGCTATGGTCGAGAGGTTTAAGCGCCGGTACTTGTCGTCGCGGCGTGAAAGTTCCGGGTTCAAATCGCGCTAGAGACTTCTTTTTTTTTTTTCTTTTTCTTTTTTTTGTATTTTGTGAGCGTCTTACTTTTTAGCTGTGATCCTTTTTAGGATATCATCCACTTGCACTACTGCGCCTTACACGGTATTTTTTGTTAGTCCCACCTGTTCAATCGAAACATCGGGAAGAAAAAAAAAAAGATGAACGCAAGTTAACGCGCTAATACAATCATTTCATTCCATTTGTTGATCCAAAGTCATTTTAGGAGTTTGGAGTTAGGAGAGAGTGAGGGACCTAAAATGACTTTGGATCATAAATGGAATTAATTATAATGAATTCCATTTGTTGTTCCAAAGTCATTTTAGGTGTTCGCATTAGAGAGAGGGTTTGCGATGTCGACGCCTGATTCATTTTTGCATTCAGTCGTGATCGTCCGCTAATCAAACTAAAATTCAACAAGTAATGTGGTAATATTACAAAACGATTGCCACAACAAAATGTAAAGAGTATAAATATACTTTTTATCACATTCCATGCAAGTAAAAGTATGATCGCTTTTATTTCGGTTTTACTACTTTCTCAGACGTTTGACTTGCTGCCTTGCCTGTAGGATTTCGCTCAATCAGTGTAGCCACAGTTGCTAGTCTTTTTTTTTTCTTTTTGCTTGTTTTTTTTTTAATTGTCACAACTGCAGTTTTTATTAGTCCTAAATAGGCGTCTCTTGTTATTGAAAGGAATCGTAGCAAGAGCGTTGTATATTTAAAAACACATAAAACTAGTTGCCGGGGAAAGGATGCTTGTTTCGGCTCGGTTAGTGTGAAGCCATAGTGATGCTGTTATCTTGGTTTCCTTTTAATGAACATTATGAAATGATTTTATTAGCACGTTAACTTGTGTTGATCCTTTTTTTTTTCTTCCCGGTGTTTCGATTGAACAGGTGGGACTAACAGTAAAAACCGTGTGAGGCGGAGTAGTGCAAGTGGATGATTTCCTAAAAAGGATCAGAGTTAAAAAGTAAGACACGCGCAAAATACCAACAAAAAAGAAAAAAAAAAAAAAAGCGCGATTTGAACCCGGAACTTTCACGCCGCGACGACAAGTACCGGCGGTTTAACCTCTCGACCATAGCAGAACGCACAAGGCGCCGGCGGAGGTAGATAAATATGCTGCTACCGCTTTTATCTCGTGTGGTTTTTTCTTTATTTTGGCTCCTATTTACCCTCCCTGACTGTAACTTTACCTGCCGCTCCTACAGTATAACGGGGCGGTCAACTGGACTCCAGTTGAAAGTCCCTGCAATCAGTTCCAGCGAGCGACATTAGGCTTTTGTGCTTGAAGCGATGCGGATCTCTCCGCCATTAGGCAGGGACGCTAGGTACTTCTTTGTCCCCATGGAGCTGGTCACGTGACGTAAAAATCCCTCTTGGCCGCGGCCGCAGCCGCAGCCGCAAGATGAGCAAACCGGCCCTGGGTTCTGCGGTGCAAGCTTTCAGCCCACGTGCTCCGAGCTGCGATGCGCTCAAACACTTGATCCCGATACCCCTCGCGCCTGGTGCGGTCTGTTGCATCGCTATGGATGACATATCCATAGCGATGCAACAGACCGCACCAGGCGCGAGGGGTATCGGGATCAAGTGTTTGAGCGCATCGCAGCTCGGAGCACGTGGGCTGAAAGCTTGCACCGCAGAACCCAGGGCCGGTTTGCTCATCTTGCGGCTGCGGCTGCGGCCGCGGCCAAGCAAAGTTCAATAAGAAATGTTCAGTGACAGCCCCACCCCGCCCCTTCTTGCCGACGTCTTCGTTCACCATGCAACAGACGGCACACTGCTTCGGAGATGGTTACAATTTGGTAATTTCTGTCGCGTCACTCGCTGGCCACGAACGCGAATCTGAATTATTCGTCGACGGATCGATTGTTAATTATAGAGAGCAGTTCGCGTAACGCGGTGCTCCTATCCAATCCATGAACTGGAACCTCCTGGCGCGCCTGGGCACTGCGGATGCGTTACAGTGAAAAGGATGAGGGCTTTCGAGGGAGAGACTATAGTAAGTAGTACATATTTATTTTCAAAGTTTCATACTGAGATTGTGGCTCTTGACTTCCCACACTGGTATGCTACTTTTCTTTGGACCTCCAAATAATACAATTTCCAAATCGTTTCATGGTACTTTTGGCTAAGTACGACCTTCCGTCGTAGCAGAGCGAGCTCGTCCATTGATTATGTATCACTAGCCAAACGTCACTCCAGATCTTCTCCTGGGTGTCTTTGGCGCGTCGATCACGCGGTCACATACTGGAAGTGTTCGAAAAAAGAACGCCGCACAGAGACGCGCGCTCAAGTTGCCGTCTGATTTCACGCTAATGTTTACCAGTCTTTCTGGAGCTACAGCCCCGAAAATCTCCCAAAACATCCGCGAGTACTACCGGCATCAGTCCAACCCAAACTTAACCCCCGGACAACGGTATTATTCGAGATACAAGCAATTCGTCTTCCTGCATGCCGCCGCCTCCAGATAACTCAAGCTCGAATCGGACCACTTTCTCGGTTGTACCCGACGATGCCGCCAGCCCACAAGAGACCGCATGGCCCCCTCGGACTACTTTCGGTGAGCGATTGGTCACATTTCCTACTAGCTTCTCAAGCAATTCACCCCGCCTGGCAACGGGCACCTAAGCCTAAAGGCTCGTTCCCGTGCACAGTTGCCTTCGAGAGCGACTGCAACCACTTGCGCCTCGTTAAGACTGCTTGCGTCAAGCTGTTGCTATGGCGACCCTTACGAAGAGCCAATGGGGAGGCGCTGTGCAGCACGTCGCAACGCAGCGCAACGCAGTCGACGCAACTATGTGAGTGAGCCTTGACGCACCCACGAAGCGATCAACGGCTGCAGGACGACCCTTTGTACAAGCCCAGAAATTGAGCTCATGGTCGTTTTTCGGCCGACACAAACACTCCGTATCGCCGGTTTATCTTCTAAAACCATCGTAGGCGTCATCCGACAGGCGGCAAACTCCATCCACTTCACGCCAGGCCCGCGTGCGCGTCCTGGAAGATCAAACATTGCCGCAGTCGACACGGCGAGTACGCACTTGAGTGATCACCTGCTCAAGCTGAATCTTTTTTTCACTTATGACAGATATTGCGAAGAAAATACAAGCACACACCTCGACTCGTCGCAACATTGAACGTGGTATTATTCGAGATCCACGGCATTGAAGATAAAGCTCCGGCCGAACTTCTCAAGCTCATCTCCTCTCAAAGAGTGCTATCGTCGTTGGGGAAGAAAGGCACAGTGCTTGTCACTTTCGACGGAACCGCACTTCCCAGACAAGTAGTCTGCTACGAGGTGCTCGAGAAGAAGATTTTCGAGCACAAATCCACAGTGGTGGTCAGCACCAAATGTCATGACCTCGGACACAAACACGACATTTGCACGAACAACCATTGATCACGATGCGAGAAGTGCGGAGGCACGCAGCACGAAAATGAGGCCTGCTCTGCCGATAAGCCCGTCTGCAAAACCTGCAAGTGCCTGCACCTCACTACAGATAACAACTACCCCGCCCGCGTGCAGGCAAACCAAACTCTGATAAACAAGTTGAAGACCCCAAACCGGACGCCCCAGAAGCTTCGACAACGTTACCCCCAGTGCAATCGGCGTTGCCGAAAGAGTGAGGCAAACGACGCGCAAAGCGCATCACGGCTGGAATCTAGCAAGACAGCAGGAGAGAACGTGTACCTCTCCCGCGCAGGTGCATGCGTTCCGACGTTAACCATCATGGATAGGAATGTTTCTCACTTTACACGAGCCTACTGGCCCAACGCCAACAATGCGATCCTTTGAATTTCGTCATCAAGCTTTGCGATACCACTATGACGATCGATATTTAAAGGCGGCTCTTACGGTGGACACGATCACATGCGTGACCATTTGATTTGGGCTCGTGAGAATCGGTACTCGACATGCATTCGGGCCCGTGCCCAATCGCTGCTGACGAAGGGGATTAGCCGAACCTTAACAATGCGTGGAACTGAACAGCGCCCGCCCTGTACACTGCCACCGCATGTGCGAGGATATGTTAAACATTGGCGGCACTTAATCGGCTTCAGATCTCACCTGGCCGCTTGTTCTGGCTGCGAGTTTAGGAGGTAAACTCTGTTCGGTTTTTTATCCGACTTTTGCTTTAAACTGCCTTTGCGTGGGGGAAAAAAAAATTACGCGTGTTGTTTTGGTTGAAGGTCAAGAAATAATTCTACGTGGCATTTACTGAAAGGTCAAGCATTTTGGCGTTGCCCCTTTGAGAAAAATGTTACAGCATTAAAAATAAAATGGACAATATATATGCAAGAAGACCTATGGTGGTTTGCTTCCCGGACCAGCTCACTGGCGCCTCTTGGTCACAGAGTCTCAAGCTGAATGCTGTGTCGCTCTGATATCACAATACAAAACAGTGACAGAGGAAAGTTATCCCGAACGTAGAACCTCATAGCTGCACATCCTATAAGTATGTCTTTAGCCGAAGTTCCCACCGGAGATCTCCACGCCGCGCGATTTGCCCACGCACCAGATAGGATCTTGGACAACAAGCGAGGATGTTAATCAAACGGAGCATTGAAAACAAGCTTCGGGTATCGAGGTCAGTCGTCCAGGACCCAGACGAAAAACAAAGGAAACAAGTAAATAACAAAAGAGGCACGCGCGGAGTATTTTTGAGATAATGCCGAGATTACTCCTGCGTACGTGTGGCTATGAAGTAACAATATGCCCTAGAGATGGCGTAATCGTTCGCTTTCCTTTTGTTTTATCACTCTTCATTTGAAGAAAACAAAAACAATTTGCGACCTATACTGAAATTGAGGTGTCTGGAAAGTTGCCCACACGCCACAATTTCTCCAACGTATACGAGCACATACCAGATATGGTGAACATATAGTAAAAAGGAAAGAAGTGTGTACTAATAGATTTTCACATGACATGGTCAGTGAACAACTTCCTCTTTTCATTTCTTAACAGCTTAATCACATGATTATATATTTTTTTATTAATTATTTTATATATCTTTTTTATTATTTTAATTTCCGTTCATTCCCCACTGTAGACAAACCAGCACAGGCCGGCCATCAACGACTGCGTAGTTTAGTGACTCCATGACTAACGCTGGTGAAGCCTTTTCTTGCG